CTCCAGCAAGCACCTTCTCTGTGATGTGAAAACTGTTTCAACCAGTTTCTCTACAGGGTGGAGAAATACACCTCTACTCTTTTCATTCTAGCACTGTGAGATCATATTAATATTAAAAAGGGGCATGCCCAATTCTAGAATTAGAGCTCAAGACACTTTTCTTTAAAGATCTGACGCATAAATCAAAAAGATAATTATTATGGCAGCAAATAAAGCAGTTATGGAGCTAGATCACCAATTCCTACTACTAAAGTACTTTGTCTCAGCTATACTAAAGGATCTAACTCTGACAGAACAGGAGCAAATTGGCGAAATTCTCATTCCAAAAAAGTGCACAGTCAGCTCTCACAGGCACCAGTTCCTGGCTCTGGAATAATATAAATGGACAGTAAAGGAGGTAGGATGGTGGAGGTTAACTTCCTGCTCCATTTCCAGGTTACAGCTGAAATGCCCCGTGACACTACATCATTTTCACAACTCCTTTACAATTTCTCAGCATAAGCCAACAGCAAACAAATAAACAGTCCCCATCTAAAAATGTCACCTTATTGCCACTCTGGAAAGGACAAGGTCATGCACTACCAGGTTCATTTTAATTATTAGGGGGGTGGGGGGTGGAAGTGAACGAGATGGGAGAACAGTGTTTAAAAATACTTCACCAAGTTGCTGAAAATAATTTGTAGGATGAGTTCCTTAACCCGCTTGCTTTACCTTGAAGAAACTGCTTGCCCTCAGTGCTGCCCCAACCGTCAAAATAAGCATATTCATATCCCTCCCAGGTTCAGCTGCAGAACGCTTTGATATCCCTCTGATGAAAGCCTCCGTGTGCTGCTATTCCCCCATCCCACATCTTCTCGTTCACAAAGGTTTTTGGCTGCCAGTTAGTGCTTATTAGAGAAGAAAAAAGCAGAAAGCAAAGAAGCGAGGAGTGCCTTTTATTAAAGCTAATTTCTGAGGCCAACCCACACTTCCCACTGCTGGCTAAGAGGCTCTTGATAGTATTAACTCTGTTTGCTCAAGCCTGCATTAGGGCGTTTTAATACAGTACAAAACTTTCTATTAGATACTGATATAGTCAAGGAGATAACTACTTGGAACAACGCAATCTGGGACAACCTAACCACATTTTACATCCTTCTTATTCCAACTGCAAAGCAAAAAAAAATATTACCTCCATCTTTTTCTTTAAAAAGAATCCATTCTCCAGTTGAAAGCCAATGATATAAAAACGTCACTTAAAACTTCACCAATGCGACTCACATGCGGAGGGGAGAGAGGGAAAAAAGTTCACACTGACAAAATAAACACCTTGAGAAGGCTACTTAACACCTCCCCCAGTCAAAATCTTCTGTAGCAAGGAAAAGCTTTAGTTCTTAAAATTTTCTTTTTTTTTTTCTTTTTCTTTTTTTGTTAGAAACAGGTGCTCTTGAAATTATTCAAGTCAGGCGTAATGCAGACGTGCGGCTGCACAACTGTAATAACACACAAACTCACACTCTAGACCCCGGTATGCACAGCTACAGCCGGAGAGATAATACCAGAACCAGCACAGAGTTTATTATTCAAAAAGAACTCTCGCGATAGTTAAAACCTTCCTACCGATCCACACTGGGCAAAGGAGAATTTACATCAGCTTGCTTCCTCTTTTTATATAAATATGGTAAAAGGCGGGTCTAGCTTTTGAAGCATGTTTAAACACAAAAGTTCACTAAACAAATATTTTTAAGTACTTTGATGTAAAGAATAATGGAAACGATAGTCTGCACACATTAGAAAGTGTTTGACTAGGAAAGGACTGTTTCATTATCAGCAAACAGCACAGATCAAATTATACGGATGATTCATTAGGGAAAAAAACCCAACAAAAAACAAAGCTGGCAGATTTGGAATAGACAGTTATTTCTCTTTGAGACAAACAAGTATTTTTCAATGTGAGCTCTGCATTGTGGGCTTTAGCCAGTCTCAGATAGACACATATTTTGGAGGAGTTCGAAGAAGTTCTGAAAATTAAAAAAATCCAACATAATAAACACAAGAGACTAAATGAACCAAACTGATTGTTTCTGTGCTTCAACAGTAGTTTCAGAACAGAACAGAACCTTAAATATTTATTTCTTTTAACAGAAAGGCGTGCTAATGCCGCTCAGCCACAGCCAAGACTTGCAAACTGCTAATTTTACTCTAGCTCAGTTTCCAGCTGCTTTTTTGTTTTCTCCCCACCCCTAAGCCTGATTCAGGAAATCAGGTTTGTGATTTAAGAGCATGTCAGACCACACCTCTGCCAATCACCTGGGTGCAGGTGGGCTGTTCCTAAAGAAAAACACAAAGACTGAGAAGAAGATGTTGACCTTAAAGTACAGAGATAACAAAGACATACGGTATCAATGCAGCCTGCACGTCATGGTATCACATAAAGCACCCACAAGGCTTGCAAAAGGGAAACTTTTATAACAGTCCTGCTGCACAGACAAAAGGGAGAACAGTTTTGAGCAGCAACACCATCTAAACTTCAGGAATGACCATGAATTCAAAGCTTTTTCCCTGAATAGCCACATTTCTGAGAGGATCTAAGAGGTAGCTTCTTAAAGGAACCCAAGAGACACCTTTTTAAGTAACTAAGCACTAAATACACAGCTACAAAGAGCCCTGGAATCTAACAGGTCAGTAATGAACCTTGTGAATGATGCAACTACACACTCTTGAGAAAGTCCACTTGTATTTGTTCTGACTCTCTAGGCTCGAACACCTTTAATGGATCTAACCCAACATGTTTTATTGTTGCACGACCACTGTTTTAAAAGAGGGATGTTCCCATGCTATCACTGAGGTGATGGAAAACACCTTTTCACGTAACATAATAAAATAGTCTGAAGGAAAAAAAGTGTTCTTAGCCACATGGACAATGGTTTAATCTGCCCAACCCCCTTAAAAATGTATAGCACTCATTTGTAAGGGTGCACGCAGGAACGTTATTCAATTAAGATTGAAACTGAATTGCAATTATGAGGTTAAACTGTATACAATAGTAGTATGTGATGATACAAACTATACGTGGTTGCCCTCTGGTTTCTAATACTTGATTTCAATGGATTAGGGGAGCAGAGTGGCAAGTAGGGAAGCTTCAGAATCCAAAACTTAGCAGTAACAGTTTGGAGGTAATTGCTCAAGACCATCCACAACTTCCAGATATAATCAATGCGTTTGCCAGTTTGCACAAGCAAGCACCAGGTCTTTTTCCTAACCAGAATGAAATTAAGTAACTGAAGGGATTTTACAAACTCAACGTGTGTCCATTACTACATCATCAACTAAACCTCTCCCATAACATCATCACAAAGATTCAAGGAAAAGCAAAGTAGAAATCATGGAAATTTAAAACTGCCACCTAGATTACCTGCTCATACCATTTTTTATCAGTTTATTCACTGTAGGAACTCAAAGAAGCCACCCAGAAAAATCCACACTAAGACTTTAAAATAAACTATCAAATTATTCTATTGCACTTATTTTTCTGATAAATACTTAATTAAATGTCCTTATGGTTCTTTTAAGACCATCAAAAAGGCACTTTTTACTCCCTTTCTAGCCCAGTATCTCGAGTCCATACAAGAGACAATAGCACACATACGTCCCCAGGTTCATTTGCAGCCTCGGTTTTGCTGTTAGTAGGAAAGACCTTTTTGCAGAACCTGAAAATCGGTAAGCATTAGCAACCTTATTGCAAAGCACTGTGAGAAACAGCACGCAAACAGGCTGAAAGAAAAAAAAAAAGAGAAAATGTCTTTTAGCAGGCATGCAGAATCTTTTTAATTTCTAGCAAAAGCAGAAATTACTTAGAGCAGAAAGATGCTGTTCAGTTGACAGAGTCTTGCTGTCAGCTGCTGGGTTGCTAACTCTGCAAGGACCTGTGTAAGGACCTGGATTTCACTACCAACAATAATGCTTATGGATGTGAATGTGCTGCTTCATCTAAATGAGGATATCCACAGTCGTGCCTGCGTGTCAGTAAGATTTTTCAAAATTGCTTCAAATAAAACGTCTGCAGTCTCACTGATTGTGAAGAACAATGAGAGAAAATTGCTTATAATTTTATTGTAGACATTTAAAAAAGATAAGCATGAAGTAAAAAGGACATTTCCTTAGCTCATTAGCATACAAGTTACAAAAGCAGGAGGAAGAAGCACTGTGCAATTAAGTTGCTCTACCTTAAAGTAACAAATAACTCAGATGTTGTCCTTGCAGACAAACAAGGCCTGATTTTGAAACACGGATGCATGGAGATGGGTCTGTGTGTTTGTGTATGTGAGCACTGTTGGAACATCCAGGCGACTGCAAATATAAAACCAATCTTTGCTTTTCCAGAGACCGAATTCATGGTGGCTTGAGTCCACAGCTTGGGTTAGAAATAAATATGCGTATCAAACCGTACAAGCAAAAATTACGGTTATTTTGAACCCCCCACTGAAAAGGTGGGCCTTAAATTATCAGGAACATTAAATCTTGGTTAAAGGTTTAAAATAACCTCATGTTGCCTTACTGTTGTAAAGATCATGTGAATTAACCTAATCCTTTCCTAACAGAGAAAGGATTATTGTTTTGCTAAAATAAACTCTGAGTTCGGAAACTGCATCTGATAACAGATCACAAAAGTGGTTTTCACTTCGCTGTCACCAGCTGATGGGACTTTTTAATAGTACTAAAACATAAATAGATCTAAAATTTTGCTCAGAAAATATCCTAAGAGATTTTTCTTTCTGTAAATACTACACTGATTCGTATAATGTTAACATTTAATTGCTAAAGACTTAACAGAACTATCTGCGTTAGTTCTAAATGACTAAGATACTTAGTTAACTAAATTTTGTTTAAAAGTTTTACCTAGTTTTGACTTTGTATTTTTATTACTTTTCAATATTTTGAATTGCTTGCCACTTTTTGCATATGCTTTCCTAACACAAATTTGGCCGTTCACCCATGCCAGCAAGGTAACACTTCAGACTTTATGGCTTTCTAAGCCTTCGCAGTTTTAACTTCCAGAGGCCGTTTTCAACTTCTTTTTTTCTTTTCTGAGCGAGCTTCTCTGAAGACACAGGCTGCAGTTCTGGACATGACGCTGGCATCCCAGGCAACGTTTCAGTGGTCGTGTTTTGCTCATTTTGGCTTGTCTGCGCTATATTGTTCCTCACAGAAAGAGGCTGGGAGAGGTTTTCTCTCAAAGTTGGTGACTCCTCATCAGACGCAGCCTTTGTCGTGTCTTCTTTAGTAAACAATCTGGAATTAATTGGGGTCTTCTCCTCCAGGGATGGATCTAAACAGGCGTCATCACACTTATTCATTTCTGTATTGCTAGGGATTAAAGGAGTCCCTCCAGAGGATACTTTTTCAAAATGCTCTAGCTTTTCTTCTGAACCACAGCTCTTTTGTTGAGCCTGTGTTTTGGTCACTTCTGGACTTTGTTTTGGACCCAGCAGTGCTGACTCAGAGCTACGAGGAAGGGTCTCGCTTAGAAGACTCAGCTTCGACCGCTCCACAGAGTGAGGCTTTTGCTGGCTGCTAACACCAGCTGGCTGTCTCTGATTAACATCATTTTCCAGCTCTAAAACAGGAAGCTCCACGTTGCTCTCAGCTGTATTTATGCAATCCTTTAGCACTCCCGAACTCCCACAGCTCACTTCAGATTGAGGATTGAGAGAAGTTTGATAGTCGTTCTTTCTGTTCCCTGTCTGTGAGTCCACTGAGCCAAGATACACTTTCTTGGGGCCCTTGCTGAGTTGAGGTTTGCTTGTGCTATTTTTCCTTGTTTTGGTCCTTTTCACACTGCAATAAAAAAAGCATTTTGTTTTTAAATTAAAAAAGAATTCTTGCTGCCTCAATCCGCCCTTCCTACAAACTCTGGAACACCACTAGGGCAACCCTCCTTCTGAATGTGGAAAAAAGCGCTGTATATCATCTCGACAAGCAGCAATGTTTGTCTAGCGTGGATAACACCAAGTGTTATCCATCTGATTTTCCACCGCACTAGGGGAACCCTATTTATTAATGACTAAGCCATGAAGAAGTTCAAATTCTATTCCAAGAGGCAGAACTGGATTCATTACAGATGTTAAAGGTCAACACAGCATAAGTATATTGAATTCAATCCCAAACTGGCTAGATAAAATAGTGTTTCATAAGTGCCTAAATGATTTCAAACCATTCCCATATACATTCACATGCATAATGTATATCTGAAGAATAGAGGGAGGCAGGTGGGGAGAGGCAGCGTGCACATCTCTGTGTGAGAGTTTCTAATCTCTATTTTAGAACGTTCCTCTGGATTTTTTCCCAGGACATTTCAAAGCATTGCTTTAAAGTTAACCACTACTCATCTAGCATCAAGCCCATTCATCTGGGAAGGACTTAGGCAATGCAAGCAGATGATATTCTAAAAGGAATTACGCAGGAAAATGGGATCACAAGGGACCTGCTGGAGTGTCAGTACATAAACAGCGCGTTACCTAAAATCCAGATTTCACATAGGCTGCAAGATGAACTTCACACACAAGTACTGAAGCTGCCTACGTAAGATTTTGAGTCCAGAGATCTATTAATATAGATCATTCCATGCCAAGACCACCCTCTGCTGCTCTGCTGATGCCAAGCAGTTCACCGGTCGGCACAGCTAACTCTTTAGAACAAGGGCTCTTCCAAAACAGGCAGAGCTGGTGTACTGCCACATCTAATCTCATTTCTAAAGACAATACAGTTGAGACAACACAGGTAAAAGGAGAAGTTGCCAGGGTTCACAGCAAATCCAGTTCCACAACTGATCTGGGGGGACCGGCAGCCTTACGGTAAGAATGGCCTCCTGCTGCAGCAGAGGACCAGTAAAACGTTGGGCTGGGTGACTAACCCTCCCCTTGCATGACGCCCGGGACACTCTTCAGTTGTGACCAAAGATCAAGACTAATATCGTGGTACGCTGCAGACTCTCAAAAATATATTTGCAAACTGTTTTTCAGCAAATTGAAGCATCACATATTTGTTTTGGCTCAGAGCTTCATTCAAGTTAAAAACACCCTGTTTTGATTCTGCCTAGCGCTACGCGAGACATCTATGTGGGTTGTAACAGCTTTTCTCATGTCGTACAAAACAATCATCACTTTCTCTGCTTATCCACGCCACAGTAGCAGTCTCTCAGTAATCTAAAATAAACTTTTGTAAAGGAGTTTAATTATTTGAAATTTTATTACATGCAAATTTTACCAGATTATAAATTTAACATCTTAAAAAAGAACAGTGACATACATTTTTTTCAAGATGTCTTGCTTTATTTGTTCATTCAGACTTATCTGAGGCTTCTTGTTCTCAGCAGACTCAGTAAAATATTCAGACGTCCCACTGGAAAGTTCTTCTTTCTGCTCCAGAAGAAAATACAGGTTTAAAACATGACACATCAAGCTATGATTATTCAACATAAAACTCCATTTCTAATACTAAGACTTACAGATGTTCTTCATTATTTTGATCTGGGCAGTCTAAGAGAAACAGAATTATTTTTCATCTTTTAATATTTGGGAGTCTAGTCAGTTCCCTCCCCTTTCAGGCTCCCAACGAACATACTTCATATGCTAAAATATACCACAAACAAACAAGACTCTAATGTAAAGGATGTAGCTTTCCAAACCATCTGAGGAAACTGTTGGCAAATATTTGACATCTTTGTGGCTCAAACTGTGACAAATGCCAGGAATCTCTCTTGCAGACAGGAGCATGTTTGTCAGGTTTTTTTCTGAAGCGACTGACTGGCGCAGTGGTCTATACACTTATTCTCAGAAGAATTCCCATAATTTTCCACGCTTACAACAAAATATACAGAGTGTTATTTGCTCATTTAAGGCAGCAAGGGTTAAAACTTTTACTACGAACATTCAAACGCTCACAGCTTGTAGTGGTTGGCTACTACAGGACAACAGGGGAATTCTTTCTGCTCTCAGTTAACAGCAGCACCATGGTTTTATATAATACGAGATTGGGGCGAGAGGGAGGGAAGGAAAATGCTTCTTTTTCTTCAAGCTGTGAGCATTTCCTTTCACGATGAAACAAGCTCAGTGAGAGAAGGGCCATTTGCCGACTTCACTATTAACTACCATGTACTTCAAGAAAGTCTTATCTCTGAGACGACTGAGAGGAGAGAAAAAAGGCATGGCAAAGCCAAGAAGAGAAGAGGCTTTGTGCATCTCCTTTTCTTTGATAGCATTTGTCTCCCCCAGCCTGTGTGATGCAACTTCTGATTGGGGCTCATCAAATGCCAGGAGCACTCGCTGACACCATTTCTTGCTGCGCACTGTGAAGCTGGCACACTGGAGCCAGGCAGTACGAAAGAACTGAAGAAAGTAGCGCAACACTGTGGAGGTGCAAGGTCAAAACACGTACATGATCGCTGCCTGCAACAGCCCTCAGGAACCTGTCACTTAGAGGGGATTAAGCCCTGCCTGGTTTTATTTTAATTTCTGTTTTAAAGGAGAAAGGGTAAACTTCACCGTTCCGTCCCAAAGAATAAGCCAGTGAAAACAACTTCCTGGTTTGTAAGCAGAAGGAGGGTAATCAGGCAAAGAAATAAAGCCATTTCACCAGTTAAAAAAAAAATACAGCTGTTCCGAGCCTTCCTTTCGGGGGCAAATTACACAAACATGCTGATTCGTATTGATAGATGCATGAAGTTCTGTCCACTAATTCTGCAAAATGTGTTTACAGCAGGCAGAATACATGTTTTCTGCCTGCTGTAAACACGTGGGACATACACGCAATATGATTTCAACCTCAGAAATCAAGCCTAACTAGTTTAATCTCAGGGATTAATTGCTGCTTCTATTCTTGTTAGAGGTACGGACTCCCCTAACTCGACTAAATACGTTTTCATAGTTTGTGAACTGTTAAAGAAGGGAATGTTTTTAAGTGACTCAAAAGCTTTGCTGATTTTAACAGAAGACACAGACTCTTAACTGTAAAGTCCGTAGAAACTTTTCTGACTTCCAGTAACATTCACAGAACTCCGACTGAAGGATCTTGCACAATCATTCTGCATCAAAGCAGCTGGAGAGCACTCTTCCCCAGCCAGGGAACACGAGTGCAGGCAGAAGCACTTGAATCTGTGCTTTAGGGTAACTGCTATGGCTAACTTGATTAATCTCCAGTCCTCAACACAGCAGACTGTGACAGGATCACCAGGCCGCTGAAGTGGTTCTTCTACAAGCGGTAGGCAGTGGGTGGCAAGGAACACCTTGCACAAACTCCAGAGGAGGACTGGGGACGGGTCCTGTCCACGCGTGCTCACTGCTGCAGATCAGCGACGCATCTCAGTTCTAACTTGCATCTGATTATGAACACGGCACATGGTCGCTGCCTGGAGTGGGCCGGCTCGCCGGGGCGTGAGGAACAGATCCTGGAGAGAGGCAAAGGTGCCGAAGCCGTGGCACTTGTGAGTTGCGTCAGGCTGGGGCTGAAGGGCTAACACATTCCCTCACTGCGCTGTCATCAACCTTTTATTTTGTTTTCAAATAGCTTATTGCTTAAAGCAGTGACAGAAAAGGGTTAAGGCATTAAAAAAATTAAAAATCAAAATGATTTATATGTGAAACACTTCTGAACATGCCCTCTAAGTACAGTAGATTTTCCCCTTGGAACCACACCCTGTAAGTGCTGTATTTTGAGAGGCGAACAATTAACATAAGGCATATGAGTCAGTCTTTGAAAGACTCTGTGGGAACCAGAGAGCCTTTTGCTATTAGGAGTGATGCAAACTCCCTAAGGCTGGAATAAGTCCACAATGGAAGGCAAAGAGAGTCATAAATAACAACAATGGGCACTCCATATACTACTAAGACACTCAGCCATTATTGGTGATACTTCCTTTATTTTCCTTATTAGACTTAATAATTTTAGTTAATTAAAAAAAAATAAAAAACACCGTCTGTTTTGGGAATACTATTTATTTCCTATGGGAACTTCAGGACTTGCTAAAGAAAGAAAAAAAGCTAATCTGCTCTCATCCTGTCAAGTAATCCCAAATTCCTTTTAGGCAGTGAAATAATTAAAGAAAAATATTCCAGGCATAAAAAGGAGGACAGCAGAAGCAGACATCATATAAACAATGACACCATGACAGGGGAAAAACGTCAAAGCACCGCCAGACTTGTGACTTGACTCTCAAAGAGCTGCAGGGAGTGGGATTGCTGCTAACAAATTAAAACCACATTTCTTGGCAAATTGTTAAAGACAGACATATTTACATTTGTATAGAGACTGGGTGGGCACGAAAGATTAAAATGCTTCTTTAGCCCTTGAACTGCCAAGTTCTATTAGAAATATGTGCTCTTAAAACCCTAGGGTAAAGCTCACTCCTTTTTGTCGCTAAAACTCAGCAAAGAAACGTCTGCAGAAACAAAGCCTACACAGCCTTGCTACCTTACCTGCTCATAATACCAGCCTCTCAAAACCTGATTTTAAGATCCTTAGTACTTATATAAAGAGATATCTGGCAAAAAAAGACTCTATTATGACCTGCAGAGAAACATGACTTCTAGGCACACGGTACTTGCTTATCAAGTGGAAGGTTTGGTCTTTTCAGCCTGACAATAACACTCATACAAATATTATTTCTTTTCAGTCTAGGATGTTGGGCTGAAATAAGAATTCTCAAAGCGAATAATGCTGCCTCCCCTTCCTGCCTTTTGCTTGGTTTCATACTTTCTAGTTGTCTCTCACTATGCTCAGGATAACAGTTACACATACTTATGCATCAATAAAGGAATGCTAAGGGATAATTAAATTTCATGTCTGGTTAACAAAAAAACCCCACTAAAACACAGTAAAAATCACACATTGTTTCTGAATTGCATTTATCAGCGTGGCTCAACTTGCTCATCAAAAAATACTTAATAGAAAACATCAATGGTCCAATAAATCAAATTTAGTATCAGAGCGCCATACAAGAGGGGACTCAATATAATAATGTAGGCAAAGCAATGAAATAAAGTATTATCCCAGGCACGCACAAGTGAATAAAATTAAAATCAGTAGAAGGAATCAGACAGAAGCGGTTATTTAAGGGAGTTTTACATGAGTTTGCAACTGCATGATTTCTCTTAAGAGTCACTCTAAGCCGTATGATGAGCTCCACCGTCTAAGACAACCTTTAGGTCTCAGAACTATTCCAATAGATGACTGGCAGCTCAGAGAGGTCATACAGCACTCCTGCCAATCTGATAAACAAAAAAGGGCTCCTAAAGCAAGTGAGGAGGTTTGTCAGTGAAGGATGCATCAGATACTATCATCCAACTGATAGAAAATCCACAGAGACAGGACTTCAGGTCAAGTCTTCTGCCCTCTCTCATCGCACATGAAGGAAAAACTTCCCACAATTCCATGAGGCAAATTTTTCCGTGTCTCCAATGTAGCAACGCATCTGTCCTAACAGTTCTACTTATGAACTCCTACCACATCGTAAAACATTCATAGACGTTTTCCAAGTACAAAAATAGATATTATTCTCAAAGTGAAATACAGTTCCTTGAACGGACTTGCAGAATATTGTTCTACACTTTAAATTGGACTGCCCTGTTCTAAATGTCAGTAAGTTCCAGTAGAAAACATTAAGGATCATTCCATGTTACTCATGGGAGTAGTGATGTTTCTTTCGAAATACGTGTTTTTAAGGAATGCTGATGGTTTTAAAAAATGTGTTCTTTTCAAGATTGAAACTGGAGAAACAACCAGAGAAAACTGCATCTCTCTGGTGAGAAGTAGAACTGTATAACTGACCCGTGGCCTAGCACCCAAAGTAGAATCTAACTCCTGGATCAATAGAGTCTTCATTATCTACTACCAAAATTAATTTTGATTTGACACCATGGATCTTAACTGTTAATTTTTCACGTGCCAAGAGTCCCTCTGCTCTGTAGTGTTTAGCCCAAGAGTTGGTCCGATCTGTTACAAGCCCATGACACCTTCCACCATCTCAAAACAAAAGGTATGAACTTGGGTTTCTCACTTGATACTTAAGTTCTGCCAATTCTAAACACTCCAAAGGTCCCCAAAGCATCATCAGATTAGCTTAAAGCATATGACTTCTATGAGGAAAATGCCTTCTTGCTTTTTAAGTCTTTTGTGGGAATTTTAATCATATTTCACATACAGCAGGAA